GGTTAAATTAAAAAGGGATTTTAATTTAACAAAGATTAAAATAAATTCGAAACTTTAAAATCCAACCAACCAATTTATAACCCGCCTAGATTTCAATATTTCAAAATGTTGACTTGAAAAGTCACTATAATAAAATAAAGAGATCTAAAATGGATATTTCTAACATTTATTTAAAACGAAAGTGTTTTGAAATATTTGCATTTAAGGCGGAGTTAAAATTGGTTGATTTAGAAATTAACAAAGGAATTAATGATGAATGTTGTGGGTACTTCATGGGAGTGATGTAGATCTTCATGTTGGTGAAGCAGATCAACAGGATCTTGAACAACAGGACTTATCCAACCTAGTAGGCAGAGATCGCGGCTTGTCATGCTGGCTATGAGCGATTATGTTGTCTCTGGAATGCATGATGAACTGGGAACCCTTCGGGTAAGAGCGTCTGCTGCTATCTGAGTACCTGCGTCATCATCATAAAGGAGTCAAGAGGCTCCCTGTGTCGGAGCTGTTACTAGTTCAACTGTCCTAACATGACTGAATACCGGGAGGGAGCTGGGATGAGCGGAGATTCGACATGTGGGCACTACATGAGGAGGAAATGGATCTTGAGTACACATACATCTAGAGAAAAGGCTACAGCATTTGAGTCGGAAAAATCGTCTTCCTTATATTTCGAATTAATTTTAACAACAATGTTTTATTTTATTATGTCCATCTCTATGTGTACATTAATATTCAAGATTGTTATTACTGAAGACTGGGTACTGATTTCTTAGGAATATTGATCATTCAACTATTTAAACACTAACTTAGGAACCCAGAATTGACCGGAAACTATGTTTCCCAGCTTTTTCTCGAGTTTTCACTATAAAGTTAACCCACTCAAATTTACATTGCCTGACCTAACTAAGAACATAACCATGGTTCTGAATTCCCCAATTAAAATTAGAGGCAAATCGGTCAAGGGGTTTATGAGTTAAGATCTGGCAGACAGACAAACAGACAGAGAAATAGAGACTACTACTTTTATATATGTATAGATACCTACTATCTCCTCCTAGTACTGTTAGTCCAGGAGCTTTAGCTAAGAGAGCTTTGTTTCCACCAGCATGATCCCTTCAAAATTAGGTTATGGGTGACAAACAAACAAACAAACAATAAACCATCATTACGTAGAAATAATAATTATAATAATAATAAAAATAATAATTGAAATATTAACTTTTATATTTGACTAAATAAAAAATTTTCTCTAACCGAAAAAATTATCTATAATATAACGAAACTTTTATGATTGATTGGCGTTGCAGGGAAAATTGAAAAAAAAATCAATTTTTATTTATAATGCTCTGATCCCTCACTAGCGTTTCTTAAATTACAAATTTAAAAGTAACTACCAGAAGCTGTTGATTTACAACTATGTTTGAAGGTTTACGTGTTTCAGCTGTTTTAAGACTTGGTAGACATCAAAATTAAATAGAAAGTCGTCTTCATTGTAATGAAATATATGACGACGACTATAGTTGAATTAGAACAAAAAAAAAACTATCTTAAACTACTAACCAATGATGATGCGTAATAAGAACAGTTGTTAGGTTTAGTCCCGCATCTTTTATAGCCCTTAAAAAATCAAATCAAATCAAATCAAATCAAATCAAATCAAATCAAATCAAATCAAATCAAATCAAATCAAATCATATCAAATCAAATCAAATCAAATCAGGGGACTGAATACCTAAGAACTGTATCTGGTTCAACAGGGTCCACTACTGCAGTTTCTTTACTCTTTTCATCCACTAGGAGGTACATATAGTTGTCAGACAACGCCGGCAGAATCTGGATCTAAATAAAACGACGACATATTTCAATTATATAACAAAATAGAAGACAAGGAAATACTTTTATTATTATAAAACGAGATTTCCTATTAGTGTAAACCTTTAAAAGTTTCTATACCTGCATTTTTTCACCTTGCTGTCTTGTCTGTATACTGTGAGTTCCTCTGAATCCCAGTTTGCGGAATGCGGAAACTGGAAAACAAATTGTGAATTTTTTAAATATAGTTTTGCGCATTTTTAATACCTCTAAAATATGTTGCAACAGCTGCTTGGGTGACACAGTTAGGAAGACGACCACTAATAACTCCAAACATTGATTGCCATCCTCCCATAACACAGCATAGAGAAACAAATTAATTAGTTTTCTGAAATATTAATTAAATAATATTAATATAATTAATTAAAAAATTTTAATATAATGAGCGAAAAATTAACTTACAATTTTCAAAAGATAAAATAAAATTTAACTAAAAAATAATTATGAATCAAACTATTTGTTGTTGTTGTTGCATTTTTCAAGAATAAAAAGCTTCCCAAATACATACGCTTAAAAATTCACATAATAAACATATCAAATCAAAATCAATTTAATGAATAAAAAAAACATTATTTACTAATTAGTGATATAAAAACATCAGTTAAAAGTTTTTTGTTATTCCGATGTCTCAAAAATTATGGGTAGTATCTCAATGAGTTTTGATGCTGTTGTTGTTGATGTTGTTGCTAGAAATCCTCATGAATCTGGATGTTGTTGCTAAAAAACCTCATGAATCTTGATGTTGTTGCTAGAAAACCTCATGAATCTTGATGTTGTTGCTAGAAATCCTCATGAATCTGGATGTTGTTGCTAAAAAACCTCATGAATCTTGATGTTGTTGCTAGGAAACCTCATGAATCTTAATGTTGTTGCTTGAAAACCTCACGAATCTTGATGTTGTTGCTAGAAAACCTCATGAATCTTGATGGTGTTGCTAGAAACCCTCATGAATCTTGAGGTTGCTTGAATCTTGTTGTTGTTATTGTTTATGTTGTTGCTAGGAACCGGTTTGGATAATATTCTATTCCATGAAGACTCTTGTCCATCACAATGTGTCCGGTACTGAATAGTGAGTTTGATTATTAAATCTTAATCCAACATATGACAAGGGAATATACAGCGGTAGGCGTTTATATCAATTCAATGAAGACGACTTTTTTCTTTAAGTTTTGATTTCTGACAAGATTTTTTCAAATTTTACAAGTGAACAAGTAAACAAGGAGAATTGCTTCTCTTTTCTCTCCATGGCAGATTGTGTATTGTATTGAAATATACGACGACGAAGCTGTATTCTTTATAAAAATCCAACCCCGATGAAAAAGAATTTCCCACGAAAAAACTCTGCATTAAATCAAATCAAATCAGCGTGCAGGAATTTCCTACCTACTGTTTCCAAAACTGCGTACAAGGGGGAGGAGAGGGGGGTGGGGGGGGTTGAGTCAGACAATTTCCCAAGAAAAAAACTAAAAGGGTCATATGAGCTTTAATCCACTTTTTTTGCTAAAAACTCTAAAATAATAGTAGTTGGGCCAGGTAAGTTATTACTAAATGTCATATTTAAATTATTTTTTCAAACATATTCCTCGCAGCTGCAGATAACCGTTCCCTCGCTAGCAAGACAGAAATCTTTAATTCCTAAAAAAATAGGCAAAAATATATGCAAAAAAATCAATTTTGAGAAAGATAACTAAGGATATCGCTTTATAAACAGAGGGACACGTAAAATAACGTCTACAATCTCTGAAACAAATTGTATTCTTTGACGAAGTTTAAACAACCCTTATGATGATATGCATGTAAACTCTTATGTTTATTTTTTATCAAAGAGCTTTGGTGAAAATCTGCACTTTAAACATGCCTACAAGTTATTTGATATGATGGTTAGTCAATTGAACTAACGTCATGGGAACTATTGATATTTTCACATTTCTTCAAATTGACAATTTGTTGGTTTAGTTTTGTTTTCTATTTTTTTTGTCTTATTTCAAAGTATTTCTAAAAAATTTGCTATGAATATTTCATGTTGTAATTTTATGCAAAACAAGTTATCCAATTGAACTTCTCTCTACATTCAATGGCTCTTGTAATCTTTATTCAAATTGCTACATTTGGAAGCATATATGTTGGTAATATGAAAAATTGCCGAAATACTCAATAGCTCAAACGACAGTGGGTCAGATATTCTTACATCTTCTTAGACACATTCATGCAGCATAGATTAAATGTCGTCTTTCTTCAGTGCCAATTAGGGTTTGAAAACTCATGCAGGGTGAGGGTTGACGCATTTAAACAATTTTCTCAGAGATATCTTTCATTAAAGAAATGCTTAGCATGCTTAAATATATATCATGGGTCCCATCAAATCGAATCCCTTTCAAATCAATTTTTCGGCTAGAAACTGGGAATATTAAAGGCACCGTTATGAATCGGACATGCTACTCTATAAAAATGGTGTCCTACCCTAGCCAATATATCAGGAGAGATCTTGTTGAATGCTTCAACTAAATATACAATTCTCTCGAGCAGTTCCTTCTAAAAAAACGGGGTTAATGAGAGGAAACTAAAACTGTTGATATATAATTAATACTTGATCAGACAAAGCATTAAAGGTATAAAGGTATATGTATAAAGGTATAGGTTTAAAGGTGTATAAAGGTATATGTATGGTATAGGTATAAAGGTAGAGGAATAAAAGTATAGGTATAAAGGTATAGGTATAAAGGTATAGGTATAAAGGTATAGGTATAAAGGTATTGGTATAAAGGTATAGGTATAAAGGTATAGGTATAAAGGGTCACTCTTACACTCTTACAGTCCCTTTAAGCGCCGCATTTAGAGACTGTATTCATTGTCATAGGCAGCCGACCAAACTTCAGAAACTCATATTCGACATTCAAGATTTTAGGTCATCGTTAAAGTCTCCTCCTTTATGGATTTGAATAGATAACACTGTACCTCCGACTGATTACTAGATTTGAGCACCATTACTCCGCTGGGGAAGGTTTTTAGAGACATTGGCAGTTTAATTTCCTGAAATTTAGAAAAATTAATTTTAAGAATTAAAAGTAGTAAGGAAAAGAAATATAATGTCCGTTTAACATTGGTACTTTTTAAACCGTTGTAAGGTTATGGTTGAATTAGATAACCAATTGTTTTTAGCTGAAAATTCATTATTATCGCTTATGGTTTATCTGTAGAACTGACTTGCGGATTTATGCATCATAGACAACGAAGAAATTTGATAGAATTCATCACTTTTTTAGACAGAAAAACGACGAAACCTTTCTAATAGTTACAGGTTTAAAGGTACCGTTGTGAATCGGACATGTTTTTTAACGAAAAAATACGTCACCAAATTGTTCTGATGAATTCTGACAATTCCAGAAAAAGGGTATAATAACATGGTTAACATGCAATGTTCAAGTTTTTGATGATGTTTGGTTTTAGTCCAGGAGCATTCCCTTTAATAATGAAAAAAGTCTATATGAACCTTCATAGCTATACAGGCCAGGATAATATCTCCAGGGGATACTAGTTCTAATCCTCGGGCCCTGAATAGAATAGTTTAGCAAGAGAATTGATTATTCGGTCAAGGTGTCCATTAGTTACGATCAGACATACAAACAGATAAACATAGATAACAACTCTATATGAGATTTGCCTCAACTTGAAATTTTAAAATGTGAAGGGGGGGGGGTTTCAAGAAAATATAAACCCCATAAATATGAACCTGTTAACTCTGACGAATGCATCTGTTAGAGTAATCATTCCTCCTGCCTCCTGGATAGGTTGATCAAGGACCAACAACATCTCCTTGGCTAACTCCTAAAGAAAAAGAAAACTTTTTTAGTTAATTATTTCTCTTCGAGGCCCAGGAAATAAAAATCATAAACTGGCAAGGATAACTCTGGAAGAATTGATGTTCAGACACCCCCATGGAAAAAAGTACCCTTAAAGGGAGTGTTCACGAAAAATGAAAGGGGGTATAGGCTTAATGCGATAAAAAAGCGCTTTTGATCGCTACTAATCTTACTTCTATCTGTTGCGTCTATAAGAAGAAAATTGTTAAAGACGTCTCATACCGAATAACTTAGCGGCCATACAAATTCAGAAAATTGCAGCATACAACTTAGACCGTAAAAAAATCAATTTAATTTCAAAAAAACCATTCAGATATTAAAACCTATAGTCATCGATTAACTTTCGCCACATTTATATATAGTTGATTTTTTATAATATGTTTTAATTGTTATGATCTGAGAGTTACTTATAAAAACATTTATTCCTGTTTCGAAGATTTTTGGTAATGAAGACGACATTTTCATATTTTCCAGGAATGTTCGAAAACAAGTTGTAAGCTAAATATTATTTTAAAAAACAAAATCAAAACTAGTATGAAATATCAAATATATACAAATGTGGCGAAAGATAATCGATGACCATAGGTTGTAATATCTGAATGATTTGTTTGATATTAATTTGATTTTTTTACGGTCTAAGTCGTATGTTCCAACTTCCTCAATTTGTATGGGCGCTACGCTCTTCGGTATGAGACGTCTTTATCAATTTTCTCCTTAAAGACGCAACAGATAGAAGTAAAATTAGTAGCGATCAAAAGCGCTTTTTTATCGCATTATGCCTATACCCCCTTTCATTTTCGCGAACACTCCCTTTAAAACATTTTTGTGTTTGTCGTGTGGAGAGATATGTGTGTGTAAACTTATAGTCAGCCGGAAATTCAAGAGTACGCTGTGTTGACTTAAGTACAGTCAGAACTCAACACATTCGCTCTGGGTAGCACAAGATGGGTGGATTATCTCCCGCATAAAAAAAATGAGTTAAGCCCCTTTAGGCCCCTGAACCTAAGAATACAAATGACTATCTTAAGTCATTTTAACAAAGACGACTTTCAGAACAATATTTTAAAGAAATATCAAAATCCTTGAAATTAGTCTTCCAAAGTTTTACCTGGTAATATTTTCTATCTGATCCTGCAGAATCCTTGGTCACAGGATCATCAATCCCTAGGCTTAGGAGGTAGGATTTAAACTGAACAGTCTCGTCCTAATTAGTTCAAACTCAACTAGTTGAATAATTATTGTTTTGGACTCAAATAAATTAACAATTCTAGTTTTTTTGGCGCCATTAAAAAATCTCTGGTCTTTCAATTTTCAAACATTTCTTGCTTCTGGGCTCAATCTTAAATCTATTATCGTTGTCTCAATTTTGAAAACACCAAAAGCTTTTAGACTCAATTTTTAAAAAAAAACATAGATTTTGATTCATTTTTAAAAACAATTATCGTTTTTGAACTAATCTTTATAATAATTATAGTTTTTCAAACTATCAGAAAAATCCAAGTTTTTGGACTTAATTAAAAAAAAACAATATTCGTAAAGCCTGAGTCACGTGTGCTATGAACTGAAGGTTGACAATAAAAAAAAACTAAATGAATTCACCTCTGTAATTTCACCCTGTTTCTCACGTATTTTGCTTGAAATAGATTTAGCCAGTCCGACCATTGGTTTAGCCATCTCCATTAACCTACAACAAAATTAGAATGTTTTAAATATTTACGGGACTGTAAACGTTATTTTAAAGAGACTTACTGGTCACGTGATTTCCGTCTGTATCACGTGACAACGATACTGCACTGCCATTGGCTGAAGTTCTGGTGACGTAATACAGACTATACGGATTATATGTAATAATATTATCAATTATATCTATTAAAAATGCAAAATCAAATTTTAAAAATTTTAATAGGAGAAAACCTGAGATTATCAGGGTCCTGTGGGATGAAATCGTTTTCAGATTGGTTTCGTATTTGTTAAATATGAACTGTTTAATACTATAGCATTTATACAAAAATGCATATATATGAATTTTCGTATAAAATGACACAGTTTTATATCAATTTCTCGAAACAATAACATCAGATAGAAGTCTGATATGTTTCATTCAACACCTGAAATTCTCAGGTTTCATCCTATACTCCCTTTCATTTTTCTTTTACAGTCCCTTTAAATGATCCTCTTTTTATAGCAAGGCATGTCCTTACCCTTAAAAGCTTAAAAATGAATTTGTTAATTTTAGTTATGATTATCTAAGCTTATAAAAGTGATTATAAAAAATTTAACCTGTCTAAATCCCGGAATGCTTTAGATATATTCTGAGTATCTTTCTCCGCCTTCCGCTGCAGGTTTTTTTCTATCCCAGATATACCAGATCGTATCTCCTAGAATACACCAGATATATCAGATCTTATTTTCTAGAATACACCAGATCTTATTTCCTAGAATACACCAGATATACCAGATCGTATTTCCTAGAATACACCAGATATGACAGATCTTATTTTCTAGAATACACCAGATATGACAGATCTTATTTCCTAGGATACACCAGATATATAAGATCTTATTTCCTAGGAACACCAGATATACCAAATCTTATTTTCTAGAATACACCAGATCTTATTTCCTAGAATATACCAGATCTTACTTTCTAGAATACACCAGATAAACCAGATATTATTTCCTAGAATACACCAGATATACCAGATCTTATTTCCTGGAATACACCAGATATACCAGATCTTATCTCCTATAGTACACCAGATATACCAGATCGTATTTTTTAGAATATATAGCAGATATACCAGATTTTATTTCCTAGAATAAACCAGATATACTAGATCTTACATCCTAGAATACATCAGATATACCCGATCTTATTTACTAGATTGTATCTCCAATAATAAAAAGATAAACCAGATTTCCTCTTCTAGAGTACACCAGATTTTACGTACTAGATTATACAAGATATAACAAATTGTACCCCCTAGAAACGACTAGAAATACCAGATTATTCAGCTAGAACACACCATTTATACCAGATTTTAATCTATATATAAATTTGGCTTGTCTGTTTGTCTGTCTGTCTGTTTGTATCCAATAAACGTCAAAACGGCTGAACCGATCGGGCCCAAATTTTTTTGGGACATCTAGAGACCCCAGGGAAGGTTTAGGAATGATTGAAATTTTAAAAATTTGTGTTTTAGAGGTTTTTAATTTTGTTAAAAAATTTAATTTTTGAAAATCCGCGATTTTTTTTTTAAAAATCCGCAAAACTTTTTTCATCTTTGTTTTGAAATGTAAACAAAAAGAACATGTTCACAATTTAAATAGAAGATGGGCGCGAAGCGCCCTAAAAGCCTAGAAAGAAGGGCGCGAAGCGCCTTGAATTTCTAGTTTTCTATATTTTACTAGATCTTTGTATTCACCTTTTTGACTGGCATCTTAATCTGCTTAACGTTCCACTTCTCTTCCCTAGAATAATGAAATCTAAATTCTCTAGAAGTCAACTCGTCTTTGCAGTGTGAGGATCCCAATAAGCTGGTCGAGGGGAGAACAGCAGGCCACAAAGATTTCTTGTCCGAGTCCAATTCTCCTAATTTTCTCGTCCAAGCCAACTCAAAAATCCCGTGTTTCCCTTATTATGTCTCTAAAGTATCCTTAAACATAAAACTATCTGTTAAAATCTGGCCATGTTAGGGCATAACATATGGATAGACTAAAGTATTGCAATTATATGACTAGGATTTCGAGGTGGCTTGGACGATAAACTGTTGTAGCTGGCCTTCACAAGTTAAACCGGATTGAAATACATTTGATCAGTAATTGCAACAGCTACATGGTCCTCAAAATATTATTCAGTCTATACAACTGTACAACTGTACACCTGTACAACTGTACAACTGTACAACTGTAACAACTGAACAACTGATCAAGTGAAAGAGAGCAACAGTGTTTTGCATCAGAGAACAAAATTTACTTCTGAATAGCAAACAGAGATTGAAGAAGCCATGGCATGGAGCCACTACCCCCTGCGGTGGTTCACTGCCCCCTAGTGTTTCACCAGGTTCAAAACAATTTTATGCATCAAAATCAATGTTTTGACAATTATCGATATTTATTAGTGTATTTTATTTGGGCAAACGCATTAAGAATTATCTGAAAAATAATGGTTGTTTATTAATCTAAAAGGAAGACGACAGTTGTTAAAAAAACATAGGGGTAGTGAGCTGATCGCAGGGAAGTGAACTGATGAAAGACTCAGGTACTAAAATCCAACCAAACATGGGTTTTCCCCGAACCAACAAATATTTTTCGAGAAAAAGAGAGCAAAATCAGTTTTCTGAGAACATAAAATTTGGACTTTTGTTGTTTACAATCTTTGCTATTGTTATAATAAAATAGTTCTTCTCTCCTTAGCTAAAACTCTTTGTTTTCGAGAAAAATTCATCTTCTAAGGGCTGTTGCATCTTTGATAAAACCGTCGAGGAAAACATGATGCAAAGAAAGCTAACCTTATTGCTTTCTGTAGATGAATATGAAGATCTTGAACTCCATGTTTCCCTCCTATTTTCGTTATTTCCGCCCCTCCTTAACATTTCCAATAAAAAGCGGAATTAAGTTATGATTAATTAAGTTTTAAGCGGCGTTTATTCGGTAGTTTAATCCGGTTAAATCATAAAGCAACGAACACTATTTATAAGTATCGGGATTTCGAAATTGTAGTCTACCATTTTCATACCTTCAAAATTGTCTGCGATATAACGGAATTTTTCAAAACTCTATTTTGTTTAACAAAATCAAAATTTGGATTAAATTTTTTTATCTCAATATGAAATAGAGAACCAATTTTAAAAAAGCTTATGATACATGTAACAATTTGTTTTTAGTACACTATTTTTTGATAATAATTTTTTTGAAATCAAAGACGATATTTAAGTCGTTTCGTTATTCCCATATTTATTGGGACACTCTGTATATAAATCCACGAATTTCTCTGCTAAAACCGGGTTTGTCGCAACAAAATGTTCTTAATTTTTACTGAAACAAATACGTAACATTTGTCCCAGATATTAACAAGTTCTCAACTTAAAAGTTGACAATATTAATTCCAACAGAAGGGACCTCCATGATTTTTTAATTTGTAAATTATTTAATGATCTTTTTAAAACTTTTTATTATAATACTCGGCTATTATTTCATATATTAACTGCTGCTAAATCGTTCGACATTTTCTCTTCGATAAAACATTAAACAAATATTTTGCGGATTTACAATTTTTTTGACAAATATTTTGTAATTCTGAGCATCCATAAACCTTCTGTGGGGTAAAGAAAGGTCTCACAAAAAATTGGGCCTGATCGGTTCAGCCGTTTTGAAGTTTATGGATACAAAACGGGCTAACAGACAAGCAAAGTACTTACATACCTAAGTTAATTTCAACTTTGTCGCTTCTCATGAACCCACCTTCCTGCAGATTTTCAATTTATTAAGATTATTCAAATCTAAAAATTTCAAATTTACGGTGGTTGCTGCAATCTTGTGATCTTTTATTTTAAGATTAAAACTTTTAGAATTTTTCTTAGAAGTTAAAATTCATCGATAAATAATATAAATCACTTATTAATCAATACATTGCTAATTGATATGATTACAAAAGTAAGTAAAATTAGCTTATTAATTATAAACTTTATGCATACTGGTGTCGTGCATGCAGCGGACTCCTGAAAGGGGCGGACACCCTCTAAAGCCATTTCAACACAATGTTAGATATAAAAATAAATTTTATGAAATTTTCCAATATTCATAAATGAATTTTGATTGGAAAAAAAAAACATTAAAAGTTATCTATGTCTCGAGTAATTATTAATTCTTTAATGATTTGAAAGGAAGACGACATTCAAAGGAAATAACTTTTTTGCCGTTACCCCCTTTAAAATACATTTATGAACTAAATACATATTTAATATAGGTCAACTAATAATTTTTAACGTTTTAACATTGTTTTTTTTGTGTATCATTGTATTGAAATGGATAAAACTTTAGAAAGTGTCCGTCCCATGCAAGGGAGTTGTCCCCATGCACTACACCGGCCAGCCTTATTTGAATAGCTGATTAATTGATTGAATTCTCAATGGAATGATTCAATGATTGAAAAATTCATTAATTCACTTATTGATGAACTGACCGACTGGTTGGTTGATTGATTGATTGATTTATTATTGAACAATCTGCCTCGTAGTTTGTTGATCTGATCATGGAAAGAAGCAAAGATAAACATTTCCCGTTCTGAAATAGACATTTTTAAATCATATTTAATTTTATTATTTATCTATTCATCCAATCATTCATCCTATCTAACCAATAATTTAATCCTACTAAACCTTTTTCCAGTTGACTCTATGTGATGTGACCTCAACAACTCCTTCTTCATATTCAGTTTTATGATCTCCATGATAGAGCTTTGTCCGATCCTATAATAACAGTTTATGATCTCCATGATAGAGCTTTGTCCGATCCTATAATATCAGTTTTATGATCTCCATGATAGAGCTTTGTCCGATCCTATAATATCAGTTTTATGACCTCCATGATAAAGCATTGTTCGATCCTTTAATACCAGTTTTATGATCTCCATAATAAACCTTTATTCGATCCTATAGTATCAGTTTTATGATCCCTATGATAAAAGCCTTGTTCGATAAACACTACTCTGTAATTTTTTTTCAGGGCCAAGTCTTTTTTGACACAAAAGGTCTATGTAAAAAGCACAATTTTTTCTGACAGACCTTTTCCTATTAAAGAATGGAAATAAAAGTAACAGTGATAACCAGAGAACAATGGAATAGTAAGACCACATTATAGGAATACTTTGTGTGTTTAATGTTGATACAAAGCAACTAGTTTCTTAATTTAAAAAGTAGTCTTCCTTTTCTATTTTTTTTGGTATCAATGTAACTTTCCGCCAATACTGCCTGGCAATAAGTCCATTTGTTCTATTTATTATTTAGAAGAAAAACATCCTTTATTACTCAGTACTCACCAATCTGTAAATAACTGTCTCCGCTTCAAGAACACTCCCACTATCCTCCTTCCATCGGTTCATCCTTTATTATTAACTACTAGAAAAAGGGCCCGACGTTACTCGTGGGAAACAAATTTTGAAAAATTAATTTTTGATTTTTTTAGTCTTTGACACCCATGAGTGTCCACAAAAAATGTCAGCCATTTCGGTCCAGCCATTTGACCGGCTATAGGTAACATATAATTATAAATTTCACTACTGTGTCGTTTTATGTCAATTTAAAACTTGGTTTGTCGAAAATTGTCGAAACTTGCCGAGAATGGTCGAAAATTCCATTTGCATAAATGTCAGGTTTTACTGTGTCTTTTTATTTATGTCATGTTTTATTATTAAGATTTAACCGGGTGGTTACCCTACTTAAAAATTATTAACAACGAACTGAGTTACTGCTTAATACTACCCAAACAATTTGAATAAAGACGACCTGAAACTCTATAAATATAATGTTTCCAAGGTTAAATTAAGTTTTAATGTTTGGGCGAAGAAGTAAACAAACTTTCAGCTGCAGGGAAACCCAAATAGAGTAAGTATCAAGTACAATAGATGGCATCGTAGAATCTTTACATTCTCAGTGCAGCTGTATTCTTACGTCACAAGTGTCAACAGTTTATGTGTCCGACAAATTTATTGATAATAAAGTGCTTATCATACTATCAAATAAGTGCAATTTTGTGTTTTTTATTTTCTGTTTTATACTTTTTTTAATTATTCGTGGGAAACACGTCAACTAATGAGAGAAAATGTTGTCTTCCTTGTTAAATTTGACACTTGTGACGTCATATGTATAATTGGTCCATTACTGTGTTGCAACCTATTGTACTTGATAATCTATTTGGGGAAACCTAAATATAAGGAAATAGACAATAAGAAGTCCGCAAAGTCGTCTCTGAAGTCTCATCCTTTGTGGGTCCCCGTATAAACCAATTTTTTAATTTATAAAATTTCTTTGTGGGTTAGGTTTAATAATCTTTGTAGTTAAACTTACCAATTTATCGGAAAAAGTATATCTGGGTCTGTACTTAAGCTCAAAATATTCCAGAAAGGTCGAAATTTTATTGTAATTTATATAAAACGGGGCATTCAGTTACATATTACAGAGTTATAAATACTTTGTTTTAGGAACATCTTTGAGCAGTCGGTAAGTATAGGCATAATTGTAAATTGGTATCTTAGGGTATTTTTAATATTAACCATTAACCCAGGGAATGTTTGTGGCTAGTCAATATAAAAAACTTAACATACTTACTTAACCGCGTTTCAATTTTAGTGTACAATGGGAGAAAACAAATGCCGTTCTTACTACTTTTAAAACTACATGAATGTCTACAGAAAATCAGGGAAATTTCGTTTATTGCAGAGTTCGCTGAAATAAGACGACTTGGACCAAACTATTAAAATTAAAATTTTTGCAAGAAAAGGATAAAAGCCTAGTTATTTAATTAAATGGAAAATGGGGACCTTTAGATTTTAACAAACCTTGCTGAAGTTGAGAAGAATTCCGCTGTCTATCTAAACATTTTATCTGTAAGGTCTAATAATAAAATATTGTCAAGTAATAAGTTTTAATATTTATTTCATCAAGAGATCTTTAAATAAAACCGACTACTTTTTTTAGCTGGGCTTAACCAGACCAGAGTTGAAACTAAGATCAAGTTTCAAGATCCAGGTTCAAGTTGAGTTCATGCATCCAAGCTCCAGTCATTGATATTTTTCATGCTAATTTAAACCTGAAAAAGAATTAAGGGTAGTCGTAAAATGAAACCTGAGGCCAGAACTTGTGTGTAAAGTAACGTTAATTTGATCTTTAGATCAAATGTAGGCACTTACAAATTTGAGCCTGAGGATAAATGATATATGCATGCTCCCTAAATATGAGTTAACCCTGCAGAGTATTATGAACAAGGGATTTGAAAAGGAATCAAATTAATCAGTAGATCAGCAAAAGATGAAACTCAGTGTTTGACCTCGAGATTCACATTACAAAATTTCTGATTTTTGAACATTCGGATCTAAAACAGTGGCTTTGATATTTGATATTTTGTAAAATGAAAATGAAAATACCAGATTCAATTTTCAACAGGAGGCCGGGATATATTCGTTAAGAATTACACCCCCCGGGTGGAGGAGGAGAGGAATCATATTTTATGGTTTAATAGAAAATAATTAGATATATTAGAAGGTAAGTTTTTTTCAACCCTTTGATACTTCTAGCAATAATAATAATTTCCCCCCCCCAATTCTATATTCTAGTACCTGATATCCCACCAAGCTACCCTTCCCTATACACTCTCCGATAAAGAACCAGCAGAAAACTTCTAGTCCAACAACTGTATTAATTGCAGCTTCCTTCACCTAAACAGAAAGTTTCTAATCCAACAACTGTATTGATTGCAGCTTCCTTCACCTAAACAGAAAACTTCTAATCAAACTACAGTATTAATTGCAGCTTCCTTCACCTAAACAGAATGTTTCTAATTCTACAACTGTATTGATTGCAGCTTCCTTCACCTAAAAAGAAAACTTCTAGTCCAACAACTGTATTGATTGCAGCTTCCTTCACTTAAACAGAAAACTTCTAATCAAACTACAGTGTTAATTGCAGCTTACGTCACCTAAACAGAAAACTTCTAATCCAACAACTGTATTAATTGCAGCTTCCTTGAACTTAACAGAAAACTTCTAATCCAACAACTGTATTAATTGCAGCTTCCTTCAACTAAACAGAAAACTTCTAATCCAACAACTGTATTAATTGCAGCTTCCGTCACCTAAACAGAAAACTTCTAATCCAACAACTGTGTTAATTGCAACTTCCGTCACCTAAACAGAAAACTTCTAATCCAACAACTGTGTTAATTGCAACTTCCTTCAGCTAAGCAGAAAACTTCTAATCTAACAATTGTATTAATTGCAGCTTCCTTCAGCTAAGCAGAAAACTTCTAATCCAACAACTGTATTTATTGCAGTTTCCTTCACCGAAACATTTTTGGATTACAACAAATATTTTTTATTACGTTTTTTTTTATTTAAGGGACTGTATACGTATTTTTAAGTGACGTGAATAAAGTGGCATTCACAACGATGCCCTAAGAAGGTTAGTCGGATCAGGAATGAATGAGATATCCATAATTTTTCTTTCAGACAGTTGATTGTTTTCAATTGTGGGTCTATCATAAGTGACATGTTTGCATTTTTTGCAGTGCAAATTTAATCTTTAACTATACTCTTTTTATAAGCAGACTCCCAGATGATGTTAGTACTTTCCCAAATGGCAACTTCCCAATGGTTTTTACGTCAGTGCCAACTTCCCAAGCTAAAACTTCCTAAGTCCGTTCTAGCCGTAGCGAATAGCCCCCTAGCCGCAACGCTCGTAGCCCCCCCCCCCAACTGCAGCCTGCGGTGTCTTAGACGACCTAACCTGACTTTAAATGTACATTTGGGAAGTTGCCGCTTGGGAAATTGCACATTTGGGAAGTTAGGAATTTACATACTTCACTCCAGTTTAAAAGTTTAGATACTTACAGTCCAGTTTCTAAAGGTTTGCTTCTGAAGGTTAGCTATCTTAGTACTAGCATCAGCAATAGCTCGTGGAATCTCTCCAGGGGTGGGAGGTACTAGCTCAACCTAAGTACAATAGAACTAGAATTAGTAATAGCTCGAGCTATAGGGGTACTAGTAAAACCCAGGAGTCAATCGGCACTAGCCCAATTTTATAACACAAGGCTCAGTTTTGTTTCCGAAAAATTATGAGATGGTTTAATCTCCCCATTCATAAGTTCTCAGATCAATTGCATTGGATGGGTGAGTAGTACCTTGGCGTATTTAACGAATACGTTTAGTTTAGGTTTAGCCAATTCAATCAGTACAGGGACTTTCTTCAGTAGAGCGGCCATCTTTAAATCTGAAATTCAAGAAATGCGGGAAATTTAATTTTTATATTTATCTTGTGGTCCCTTGCTTCTCAACTCGCAATCTCTCCTCCTCGGCCGCGGGAAGATTTCCCCGACTTTCCTGACTGTATTCAACAATTCATTCAATTATAATCATCATTCCTCTTGTAAATTATAAATTAAACTAGGCTTTTAGGGCGCTTCGTGTCCATCTTCTATTTTAAATGTGAACATGTTCTTTTTGTTTAAATTTCAAAACAAAGAAAAAATTTTTGCGGATTTTCAAGAATTAAATTTTTTTTTTATAAAATTGAAAACCTTTAAAACACATTTTTTTAAATTTTTATCATTCATAAACCTTCCCTGTGGTCACATGATGTCCCACAAAAAACAAACAAACAGACAGACAGGCCAAATTTATATATAGAATATATGATGCTTAACAGGACTGCTGTTGCAATTTCAAATGACTCTCCGAACTTAACACCGTTGTTTCTCAGCCCGAAATGTGCAATACAAATTTTGAAAGTAATCGATTTACAATCTTGAACAGATAAAACGTGTACTGTTCTGAATGGGACAAATGAATATCGAATATGAATTTTTTTTTGAAAATAACAAAAGAAAACATAGTTATTTAACTATAAAAAGCAAAAATCGAGTAATTCACATCAAGTTGAAGGCGCAAATCTTAAACGTGAGATTTGTGGGGACAAAATGTTCTAATTTCAAACTAATATTTTGAGGAGTAATAAAACGTCTCCATTTTTTAGCTGGCTAAGTTAAAACTAGACTTTTTAAAACAACAAAATGTTAAGGCAAAATATGCAGTTTTCTGGAAAAAAAGATCAAATTAACTTCCTAGGTGATGTTCTAATATTAAAATCCAAAAATATCTATTTATGCAACTGTCTTGTTTATCATGCGGGAAAATATGGTTTTTTGGCCGAGATTTTACTTATTTCGTTAAAAGTCTTGAATTTAAACCGAAAAAACAAACAAAAAAAGTAAAAATCACAACAAAAACATAATTTTCCAAATTTTAACATAAGATTGTTGGACATATAAATTTGTTTAATCCAAGTTTTATAGAAATATTTCATTTTTTTTACTGAAATCCGCGACATAAAAAGGGAAATCTGTTTTTCCGGTATAGAATGTTACTTATTTGCCTCGGAACAAATAAGAAACTTTCTATACCCAAGATCATGAAATTGTGAGTAAAATGCGGGATAACATTTCTCTTCAAGTTAATTAAATAATCTAAAATGTGTTCTATGTTGAATGAATTTTTTCCTTTGGAACATGTTCTGTAGGATCTCTGTAGCGGAAGGTTCCAGGGCAAGAGGAACTTTAGGCTGAGGATATTGCAGGAACGAATCCCCAGGTTCCTTATTAGTGGTTCCGTTCCAGTATCCCTTCAAAATTATTAGTTATTATATTATGAATCTAGTGGAATATGTTTTTGGAATTAACCCCTTCTCAAGTATCGTCACAAACTAATTCTCACACCTTATCATTAAGTTTGAGTTGACATTTTTTGTTTCAATACATAGTATTAACCATTTTTTTTATAAATGAAAATTAGTTTTGTTCAACTCGGCTTGGATTTAAAGATATATAAGCTTAGATTTTTTTAGGAGACCCAGAAGTACCCAGGAAGTATCATTGGATAAAAGTATTCGATTTGAATTTTTTTCCTAAGTATTCTTAAAATTTTACGGGCAACGCTGGGCACTTCAGCTAAAGTTTAATAAAAATATGTTTACCCCTGAATTAATGCTAATTGTTTCCTGGACCTGTATTGACGGATGATCTGTGTATGTATTCTTGAATTGATCGGAGTACTCTCTACCAGAGTGTGATCTGTAAACATCGAAATATGCAGAAACCTGAAAAATTGTTTTTAAAAATCTAGGAAATCCATTGATTTACCAATATTTTTAATTTCCACGGATCTATTCCAAGGATCTGGATTCAAATACAAATTTCCACCAAAATATATTAAACAAAAATCTTTTTGATTTAAAACCAAGATTATATCTTCATGCAGAATTTTATGTGACCCTTACCTGAATACCTTAAATCTTAGGTACCTTAAAAGCTTTGCATGATATTGATCAAGATCTGTTACAACAATGGAGGATCTTTTCATTACTGAGCATATGGCAAGTAAGAAAAAAATAATATCTTTCAGTAAGAGTAACGTTGCGAATCAGTCATGCGCCTCTGTAAAGGAAATATCACTTGCAAATATTAGAACGGTCCCTTAAACTTACCTCATTATTAGTATAATTATTGAGGGACTGCCAGTGTCGTTCCCCGTTCAGGAACTCTGCTACCAGGACCGGGGATCTATTAAAAAAAAAACAAAGAACAAAATAAATAGTTGCAGAGAGTAAAGAATATGTATATTTTTATAAATAAGCCCCGACCCCTCTCGGCCCCTCAAATTCATTAATCTCTCCCTCTCAAGGTGGGGGGGGGGGGGGAAATTTCGGATGTTCTGAGGGTTTATCAAAAGACAAGTTTCCCCCCCTTCCTCTTTGATACTTTTAACCTATACATTCATTTATTTTCACCCTAAAAAATGTCCAAAGAGGGAGGGGGGGGGAAGGGATTTGAGAAGAAAATATATACCCCTGAATAATTGAGTTATTCAAAATCGGGGGGGGGGGGGGGGGAAAAAGGGGGGAATTTTGGCATTAACCGGCATTTAATCAATTTAACCTACTAGTAATTAAATTTCCTCAAAAAAAACTACCTAACTTTTTAAAAATAGCAAACTATGGAATTATTTTTTGAAACCCCAAATCTGTTTTTACCTATGACGTCGGGGTTTTAAATATATAACTACACCAGGATTATCCTATAGAAGTAATAATTCAGTATTTATTAAATAATTTCCTGTTTTAAAACCAGAAATTCCAACATGTGGTTCAAAATAAACAAATAATAAGAACGATATGTTGACAGGTTTCAGACCAATTAGATCAAAAGTTCTTAACTTTGAAACTCGACATTTTAAAATAAATATGTAAAAAAATTATATTGCCAAATAAAACTGATAATAGATACTGAAAACTATTCCTTAGCAAATTGTACAATATCTTGTTCAATAAAACTGCGAACTCCTGTACTTGATCCATGACTCTTACAAAACTAGAACAATAAATAGTACAGAACTAGAGTATTATATAGTACATAACTAGAGCATAATGCAGTACAGAACTAGAGTGTTATGTAGTACATAACTAGTGCATAATATAGTACAGAACTAGAGCAACAAATAAAACATAAATTGATCAATTAATAGTGTATGACTGAAGAAATTAATACTACATAACTGGAGCATTTTACAGTACAGAACTAGAGCAATAAATAGTACAAAACTAGAGCAATTAACAGTACAGAACTAGAGCAGTACAGTAAAGAACTTAGGATATACAGGGTGTCCCACATCAAACAAGACCGCGTCAATGGGTCTAAATTACGATTTGGGGAACAAATCAGAAAATTTTAGAAGAATGAATCATTTTAAAAAGCTTAATAATGTTAATAGAATTTTTTTTTGCAGAAAATGCTAGATTTTTCGAGTATTATGTGCGTATTTTGGCGTTAAAGATTGCAGATAATCTAATATGATATGGGACGCTCTATAGAACAGAAGAATTTGAGGTACATGGTACACACCAAAAGTAGTTAATACATGACGTACATCTTAACTGCGCCTATTTCAACTGTGCTGTACATACGTAACATGATTGCCTCGATCATGTGATAAAGATAATAACGTAGGAATTGTAATTACGTCTTTTAACTTTAACTTGCAACATATAAACCTTAAATACATTACTTGATATAGAGACTCCACTTTGATTACTGGGAGAGAGTAATCATGTCCTTGTTCTAAACGAATGAGTTGAAGATTGTGTCCCAGAAGAGGCATTGATAGTTTAGGAGATCGTGTCCCAGTTTAGGCATTGATAGCTCAAGATCGTGTCCCAGAAGAGACATCGATAGTTAAGGAGATCGTGTCCTCGTTGAGGCATTGATAGCTCAAGATCGTGTCCCATAAGAGGCATTGATTGATAGTTTACAAGATTGTGTCCTAGTTAAGGCCTTGATAGCTCAAGATTGTGTCCCCGGTTAGGCATTGATAGTTGCGTGTTTATGTCTGTGTAGACATTAATAATTGATGAGATTGTGTCCGGGTTTAGTATATTGATAGCTTAGTGAAACTGAATTGTACCTGGACAGATACTGGTTAGAAAAATCTTTATTGAGTAGGGTATTTACTACATACAAACTAATATAATACAAGAAGAATGAAGAATAATATCTGAAAAAAATATAACTAGAAAAATCATGAATAAATTGATCTATTTTCATTAAACATACATTTAAAGTTTTGACAGTACGAGGTTTAAAAATGAAAGATTTCACACCGAGTTCGGTAATTGGGTAAGAGGCTGAGCACTAATAAAGGATCATTCAAAATGTCTTGTATGGAATTTTTACTTCCGTTTCTATCAAAAAGGCTAAACCGATTGTACCCACATATCTTGTAAGGACTTAAATTGACCTAACAGAAGTGCAATTGTGAAGCGTACTTGATATTAAGTAGATATTCACCTTTAATGTTATTCTAGCCAGCTGTGGAATGAATCGACCAACTCCGTTATTTAAAGGGGCATTTTTATTAATGAATGTATTACGAATTAGCATTCCTAAGGACGACATTTTCTTGAATTTTGATGATGTCTGAAATCAATGATACAATTATAAAACCACGAGATTTAAATATTAAATATTGAAAATTTTTGGAAATCTCAACTTAACTTAAAACAGGGTAGAATTCCTAGAGAAAGATTTTTGAACCCCCCACCACGGGTTAGGTTAAGTTAAGAAACTTCCTGTCACACCCATGTACAAAATTGATAGGAGAGGGGGGGGTCCAATATCGTTCTCTAGGAATATACCAGAAGGTGGAAGGGTTGTTAACTGTGTTCTGTCCTATAACTGTCATATCCTGACGCCATAACAAATTATAATCCGGTTTAATCTAGGAGTTGAGGATCCCGGAAGATTAAAAATGTCAGAAACACAAGTTTAAAATCTATCGCGGCAGTCTTGCGAGGCAGAGGAAAAATTCAGGGGCAAAAAATAATAATAGAAATAATGATAAAGGAAATAACTAAAAATAGTTTACATTATTTTCTTTTTTAAATCGATAAAAATCAATCTTTTTTTTGTTAAATTCAATCGACTTTAATTTGGTTCTCTCTGCCATCTACATCCCTGAACAAAGCTAGTTTGCATTGCAAGCCTATGATTGGTTAAACAAAACTTGTCAAAATTCCCCGAATATTGGTCAACCAATCACAGGATAGAATCCACCAATTCAACCAATAAGGAAACACTACCGAATATACAGGAAAACCTGAGTCTTGACGTGTGTTAACATTTAAAATGTTACATTTTCATCAGAAAATTATAAGCCATGATGAATTGAGTCAGTAATGTCTATAAGTGATGTGATCCCTTTGCAATAAGATAAAGGTAATTTCCTAGGGCGTCCCCCCCTCCTATCAATTTTGTACATGACCAAATTAGTATTTATTTAGTATTATTTACGGTTAGGTTAGGTTAAGACACTTTCTGGGCCGAGCGCTGCGGCCACGGGTTAGGTCAAGTTCAGACACTTTCTGTAAGATCTATGTACAAAAAATTGATAGGAAGGGGGGGGGGGACCAAAAATCGTGTCTATGAATATACCTAACAACTAACACTTAGTTAGATACTGTTGAGAACGATTTTTGGACATTATTCATGCAGAAACCTAAGTTGCAGACCGGCTACTATAAGCGTGTAACATCTGTACAATGGAAAACCAAACTTGTTCAAGGAGATATTTTTTTTCAGAATAAAATGTCGCACATAGAGAACCTGAAAGCTTTTGATCCCTTTGCAGATGCAGCGAAGGGGGACGACGAGGCTGTGCAGGACGGATTAGTCCACGTCAGGTTAGACAATTAAGCACTGGGATATATATTTTGATGAATTATTCTAACGGCTCCTGGGGGGGGGGACTAGTAAGAGATCCTCCCCCCCCCCTTTTTTTTTNGGGGGGGGGGGGGGGTGATTTTCAAGAGAATATTCTGCACACCCTGCGACTTTGTAAACTACTTAAAGCATTTTTTTAATGTAAGTCTAGATTTATTTGATGTGATAAAGTACCTGTATAATTTAGCACTGATCTTAAGAGTTTAAAACATTTTTCATAGAATTTAGTATAAATTTTGATTTAACAAATTTTTTTAATTCTTATTTAAAATAGACTTTTTTGGAACTTGAATTTGCTGTATCCCGAAGGTTATCGACGTTTTGAGAGTATTTTGAACAAAAACTTCTCTCAGTTGATGTTGTAACCAGAAAATATTATTTATTTTCTTCTGAACAAAATAATTTATTTTTTAAATTTGCTTCCGAGTTTTTTTCTGATTTGAATAATATTATCTAAATAAAACATCCTCTCTAATTTACTGTCGTAAAGATGCATACACTGAGTTTAGCTGACTGTAACAACATCTTTTAAAATAGATAATATTCTTGGCGGTATATCTGTAGTTATAGAACAAAACGCCATTTTTTTTATTGCATTGTTTTCTGTACCTTATTTTCAGGTTTTCAAAAATAAAAGATTTAGAACAATCTTAAAAATCGTTATTTGGATAGATTTCAGTTAATCTAATTTAAATTCCCAAAATTTTCCGATTGCTTAACTAAGTCAAGCTTTGATTATGCATTTAAAGTAATCTGAATTTGATTTTTAGAATTCAGCAGAGAAATGGAAGAAAAACCCTGACAACAGTGCAAGGAAATAAATCAGACAATTTTATTTAAATTCAATTTCTAGCTTTTTCAATTAGGTTTTGATTTGATTCTGGATCGAAAGGGAAATCTGATTTTATTTGGGTTTCCAGGCTTAAGCGATGAATACGATCTGAAAAAAATCATTAAGGTTAGTCGAAATTTAAGTTGTGTGAATATTTTCTGTCAAAATATCCCCCCCACGTACCCCACCCTTTTCAAAGGTCTGTTTCCATCAATTATTTAGCACAATTTTAATGTAGCTGCCCAAGGAAGGTACGTGCACTTGCCGCGTTAAATTAAAAGAAGAGTGAGACTAATATATATTTAGGTTTAGGTTAGGTTAAGACCAGGAGGCCGAGCGCCGCTGTTAAGACAGATTTGGGGGCCGAGCATCGTGGCTAGAACAGACATTCTCTCCGTCTTATTATTCGTTGCGGCATGCGCACGTAACTTCCTGGAGCGCTGCCCAATTTTAATCGCAGAAGTTAAATTTTAGGGGGGGGGG